ATGTCTCGCTTTAGCACCCCAAGCGGCATTATGCTACGATAATGAGTTGCGTAAATTTTTCGTGTTGCCTGAAGAATATAGTGAGTTTGATTTTGCGTTCTAAAATTCAGTGAAGGCCACATCTTTCCTTGCGGCGCCGAATTTACTACTGATGTCATTTCTGTCAATTCAAGCCGACAAGCTGATTGTGAGACTAGGTATACTGAACTTACCGATTCGTCAAGGATTCGATGCCTGAGATTTTATGTGGAGCTCGTCCATTATTCATCATAACCTTCGTGTCGTGACCTAAAAGCACGCTACACTTTTTCAAGAGATCCTGGTCGAGTGCAGTGAACCTCGCTTACACTTTTCACGAACAATCAAGACTGGCAATGGTGCCTTCCAATTGCTTCTCGCCCAGTAGCACCAGAAATGCACTCTGTCAGGCGAAGTTCCAAGCAGCGGTTATGTCCATTTATGAAAATGGCAGCAACAGTTTTGATTGGGAATTGCGCTCGGTAAGTTGCTGAGCCTTTTGGTGTGGATCTCGAGCGCCGTTCAGCTAGAAGATCAGGTTGGTCAGCTTCACCAATCCCCGCGTAGAGCTTGTGATATTTACAAACTACTCGCGCCATTCAGAAAAAGCGTTAAGAATCTTCAGCTGGGTTCCAAAAGTTCATCTCGACTGACTATATCACAAGGACGGGATGTGACGAGATTGAAGAGATCAACAAGAGACAATTTTTTCTCACAGCCGAAAAACTCGGGGCTTACAGTAATTTGGCAGTTACCAATAAATAAGTGGTAAATTAGCTTGTGCGGTCTGGTACACTGATGTGGGCTTGGCCCTCTTGCAAGTTATGGAGCCGTTTCCAATTCGTCATTCATCTCGACCAGTTCCACACTAGGACGTAACGTGTGGAAGAGAAGCGTCTCGTAATTGACCTTTGTAAGTTGTGGAAGGATTACCATCCTATGGTATAGCGAACCGTGCTTGAGGTTCTAAAACCTCACTGGGCAGAGTCAAACTACATCAATTAAATGAACTATGTTCGAAATCCTAGTTTTGCTCATGTGGTTAACCGCTTTCAATTGATTTTACCTGCATACAGTACTATTCCTTCGATGAATGTGGTGTTGCGAAGTCGACTTCCCCGAAGCAGCATATTGTCTTTGGTGATCAGCTCGAAAGAGCCTGAACAAACGGATTCAACACCTTCCAGAAGAAAGACGAAAACCTTATCGACAGAGATGTAGCACATGACTGCGTCATTACCTGGCGCGCGCTCGATTTTCGCACGAATAGTGTAGATCGCTGGGTCAGGAAGGGCTGCGACAGAACACCAGTTCCGGTGAATAGGCGTTATGAAGTTCAGTCTTGTCTTCAAACGCAACCTTATACATTGACACATTGCGTGGATAAAAGACTCCCTGTTTTCAGTTGCGAGGGGAAGTGAGAGTGGTCCCACTGGGTGCTTCCGTTCTTGACTATCAGAACCCCAAAAAAGACGCACGATAGTTGGGGTTTGCAAGCCTTATCAAATTTAAGCAACCTAGTGCCCAAAAGACCGTTTAGCGTTATCGGCGCTAACGAGTTGAGAGCGGCCAAAGACCACCACGTTCGTGTGAAGAAAACGTCATCAGACATGCGCTCGAAAAGCGAAGCTCCACGTATTCAGGTTTAGGTTTTAGGTCAACTGGAGACTAACTAGGGACTACAATATGTAGTCGCAATTAGTAGGTCCAGTTTAGTGAGCTTCACCAGCGTGTACTAACTTTGCACTGTGTTTAGTGAGAAGGTTATTGTTTCGAAAGAATGCTGGTAAGCGTACCCAGCACGTCCTTGTGAATATTCGCCAAAGCAAACGGTGGCGTCAGCAGCATAACAGAACATCGTAACAGTTTGTTTTCCGTGAAGCCCTCATGCTGCCATGAAAGATAACTGGACGCCTAAACAGTTAGATGGTTGACAGAAACTTGCGATTAAAGCCACGGACTGCTGCAGTGAAAGAGCACAGGGCCAGTAAGACGCATATACCCACCGGTGCGCGTCAAGGGGCGGACTGGATAGCAAAGTCGGGTCCGGCATTTTGGACCCTGATAAACATCGTTAATGTAGCTCCCTTCCAACAAAGGTGCTGCTTCGCCTGTACCTTTTTTAGATCATACCACATAATCCTGACCATAATCATCTGAGTTGGCTGGCTATTGAATCTACCGTGTGAGTGCTTCCAGGCTCTCATGTAGACTCCGATAATCACCTGGGAAAAAGGCAAGTAGTGACGAGGCACCATTCGCTGCTTCAACGAGGTCTCACCATCCAGGTTGCAGGTTTCCACACAAAGCAGCTGCCATTCTCATCGGAAGATCTGAAGACGCAAGTTTTGTTTAGGGCTGTGAGCTCCAATACGTTATATCCAGATATCCTGCTCGCTCCGTTTCTGTTCTGCTCTATCCAACACTATTGACTACCGCAACCTTCAATTTGACTGGCGCTGTGATAAACGACTTTTGAAAACTTCTCAAACCTCAAGAACAGCACATCGGCAGGTATGTCTTGCTCGTTGGAGATGTGAACAAAATCGCCGACCAGAATGTGCTTCCAGTACATTTTTCGAAACATCTGACGATCTCTAAACAGTAAGGGGTCACTTTTACTTCAGCGCCGTCAGGTTGTACTAATTTCGATAGATCACAACCTGGCCTTCCGGCATCCCCCTCTCCCTGTATATGATCCAAACGACCAATGTTGTGGCTGAACATATCACCACATACCACTCGGAACGAAGTAGCCGTCTTGTCAACCGGTGGAGGACAGCTGGTGGCGGCGAAAAGCCCGAATACGGCCCCAATCCAAGAACAGTGGAAACAACCTCCTCGTCAAAAACAGTTGGCTCTGGTCATGGGTGACCACAGCGCACACAATGTGCTAACCGGAAGCGAATGCCACCATGACAGGGAGTTACCCAGCCTGGGTGATTACTTACAAATGAACAAATTCCAGCCAATATTGGTTTTAATGCCGCCAGCATCATCGATGGTAATTTACAGAGGAACGATTCAGCGGGATAAGTTGTTGTTATAGATGCATTAAATTAGCATCTGCAACAACTACGACTACCTGTACAACCGGTGTGACGAATCTGCGTACCTTTTTAAAACATTGGCTATGTTGGGCTGGTTCACGTCACCTTTACAAGAAATCAGTCACATGAACTTCACTCAAAGACACAAAAGGTGAAGGTAGTCAGTAATACGACCTAAAAATATGTGTTGGCCAGAAGGATGTGGACTGGACAATCCCCGCAACCGAGATCCACCCACAAGAACAGTGGCGAAGACTTTAGATGATTACAGATCGGATAAGTTTACCAACCACTTTATTGTTCTTATTCGTTTTCATCTTCGTACGCCTCGTGTCAATCTTGTTCTTCTTCTTCTTCTCCCTCCAGCCCCAAGCAGTCGCAGAGTCCGCTGTCTTTATCACTCGCCGCCAATTTGTTCTGAAAAGGGCATCTCTGTCGAAGCCGTGCCTTCGCTGGGTCCTCCTGATTACGTCCCTCCACCTCCACCTTTCTTGGGACACCTTGCTTTGTGCTGGGTCGCCGTTCGGGTGATCCTCCTGAGCTCTTTAGCACGAGCCCATACCATCGCAGACGTTGTTCCCGCACCTTCAGCTGGACAGGGGCAGTCTGCATGACCGCTCTGACATCCTCGTTTCTGACCCTGTCCAGTCGCGTCCAGCCGCAGGCCCATCTCAGCATCCTCATCTCAGCGGAGTGAAGCTGCCTTTCGTGATTCTTGTTCAGGGGCCAGCACTCGCTGCCGTATAGCATCGCAGGCCTTACCACTGCTCGGTACACCTTCCCTTTGAGTGTTCTGCCTTCACCCCTTAGCCTGACGTGCCAAAGCGACGGTTCAGACTCATGAAGCATAATTTTTAGTTCCTAAAGTGATCAGGAAGTAGTGCAGCTTCTCTTTTAAACACTAAGATAGCGACAGCGATTGCCCATCCCAGCTTTCAAGTTCTCCTACGAGCTCAGAAATCATTAAGAGATTTGAACTCGTTCCGCAATGAGATGCAAATGCAGCATAGGCTTTGTACTAAAGAGTCAACGTACCGATCCCATACATGACACGTTTTCCAGTTGATCTCATTGTCGTATCGCCAGCGCCTGAAGTCTTCAAATCCGTCCTATAATACATAAGCCATCGTTTGGAATTTTGCATTCTTATCTGTGGAAACAAAATTTGCAAGGAAAACGAATTTATGATAGAAAAAATGATTCTGACACTTATCGTTAGCTCTCAAAGGCTAAGTCTGAATGAAAATTGTTGATAAATATGGTGATTGACCCGAAAACTCCTATATAAACCGTTTCATGGAAAAGGAAAATGAAATGGACGGCTCCATCTGAACCTTTTAAGTTCTGATGGGCTCGCTGTCATCTACCGTTTCGACGACATGTAGAAGACTTTTCAGAAGAACTAAATAAGAAGAGCGTGTCTACGTCGAGTGATTTGTGATCGACACACCTCCCGCCTGTGTTCAAAAGGCAGCACAGGGGGGGGGGTATATCGAGGTGTGATGAGGCTGATGAACTTTTTTGTAAGCCCATTCGGCCGTCAAATCTCACTGATATCACTGAACCGAAAAGGAGAGATGCGGTTACTAGAGAGACGAAATTCAGTAGACAGACTATCTGGAAGTATTGCACCTCACTACTTCTCCTGCTATGACCATGTCTCAGGCACAAAGCGAAATTATGTTACTTTGACGTTGAAATGAAGGTTCTGTAGCTTGAGCTCGACTCAGCACACTGGGAACGTTGCCCTCAGCTTTTAAAAACTAACACATGTGACATCTGCTCAATGCCGTTACAACTAAAGGTGCGTCGTGGAGCCTGCAAGCTGAGGTCGTGTCTCATCTCTTCAAGGAGGGAAGAATTACTGAAGTTTTCAATGCTTTCCTGGGAGATCTTCAAAGAATCTTGAGGACCTCACGGTTTCTACAGTCCCTACTTTCGCATGATTCCCTACACCTCTCTTCCCCATCCTTCCTAAAATTGAGAGAGGAAATGAAGCGCACGTGCGAGGTAAAGAAGGCTTCAGTTGGAAAAAGAGAGGGAGAAGGGCGCGTCCGAGCGTTTTTCATCAATGCCTCAATTTGCCGGTTCTTTCCATGTTGCACAGGGCTCACACTTCGTAGCTGATCAAGAGATGCGGCAGTAGCATTGGCATTGACGCCTCAAAGCGACAGATTACGATGAGGTTGGGTTGGGTTCATAATGGAAGTGGGGATGCTTAATAATGCCCCTGTGTGAAAAAAGCAATTTGTCAAGAACGCGCAAAATGGGACCCCTTTCTTTGCCCGTTGACCTCCGATTCTGGATGAGCTAAGCAACCAATAACACATGTGGAGCGATGCCACCAGTCATACAGTAAAACCAGGGTGTTTGAGAATTCTTGGAAGGAGTCAGTGGGACACGCACTCACAGCGGCAATACCTCATCAAAATTATTAAGCGAAGGACGAGCTTCTGCTGGGGAGGAGACAAAAGGCCGTGGGCGGAGTCAAGGTCAGAAAGGTAATGGCAATGACAGTACGCCTGCAGCTAGACCTTTTGACCCTACAATCGCAACATTTCGCTCCATTCGGCCACTTACTACTGCTTCCACTGGTGCATGTACTTCCACGCTGCACATACACTTCATTATAATCTCTCGCTTTAACTTAACAGGGAACAACAAGTATAACGGGCTCCTTCAAACCCTGCTGGGACAAAGCGAGCTTGTGATCAACATACCTTCACGAGCGTAGTGCACAGGACGAAGCTAATCGGTATCAACCCGAGAAATTTTCGTGTATGCGCCGAATAGTGGGCAGAAGTTCAGCGCTAAAATGAGGGTTATTGCAAATACATTCTTCAAAAAAGCTGACATAACATTCAGACTGGCATATGAATAAAAGTATATGTGGCGTATTTTGGTGGTCACTTAGATGGGAAGATATTTGATATGCATATAAATGTGAGCAAGCTGTATTTGGTTGTTGTGATCGCGTTGTCAGTGAACTTCTGGAAGTTGCCGAGGTCGTAGCGAGGTTCATCAAACATATGATTCGGCTGAATCATACGGGATCTGAAAAGTGCCGATGATTTTCGGTTCCCAGTTGCCAAGCAAGCAGAGCTTCAACTATTAGGTTGGAAATAAAGTCCTGGAACACTCTTTTTAAAATTTTCTTTTTTTCTGAAAAATTCATAGGTAACATTTATGACTAACAAATGGTAGAGCATTCTCGAGGCTTCAATCCACGAGGTGGATATAAGTGCTGCAGTCAGTAGTTATCCAAGAAAATTCAAAAAACCTCGACCACTAGTAAATCCGTACTCCGAGTCACTGTCTAGTACAAATGTCTCCATAAACTATGGATTCGTGTCAACGACTGACACTATCTGCAATAGCTTCAATAGGCATGCGTTCACCGCTACAGCGTGTTTCACCTTTACCAGCGCTTTCGATCGTTTGGTATTTCTTTAAAAGGCTGCTCCTCTTTGCAGGTAGGGCTGTCACGCGAGCTCGACTACAAATTCTTCGTTATGGGCACCATTGTGTAGGTAGAGGTCTAGGCTGCAAAACTCCAGAAGCTGGCCGAGGCAGCTCGTCAAGAGCCCTCGTACCGCGACAATATTCATTTCTTTCATGACATTGCGAATCACCATGATCCGAAATGAGCCCGGTAAGAAATTCTGGAGCTGCGGCAAGATTTCTTACCTCTCTTAGCGTATTCCCCTGGTCGAGCTATAATGACTGCCACCTATCCTAGACCTTAAATCATCATCTTGATGACGAAATAATTAGACGATCAACTCCAACTCGAAAACAAGATCGCCTCCTTTTTTGACCCGCTCTCCGTCATGTATTGAAAAGGCACCCTTTATTCAATCGTTTCAACACAAAATTTATTCTATGACACTTGTAATAGCGCTCGTTGCGAGCAATAAGCTTTTGAGCATTCCTCTGCTACTTCAGGCCTCAGCGCTGTGACGTTTGCTAAGAGCTAGGATAGGAGAAAGATATTATCTTGCACATCTCGTAGGTTAACCTAATCTAGTGAGACTTTGTGGACAACTGAGAAACTACGACTCACCCTTTCTCTCGGCTGTGGCGACTCCGAAGGATCGTGATAGGGTTGTGCAGCGGTGCAGACGGTGGAACCCACTGAGAAGACGATCGCTTGTGAGTGTGGCGAGACACTATCATTCTGGAATGTCAAGCCTGTATCAAAACTTCGATTCCAACAAAAGCACGTCTCCTCAGCTCCCGCTAGCAAAACCTTAGCTATCATGCTCAGCAAAAACCTGGATATGGCATAGGAGTTTTGGAGCAAGCCATTTCACCTCATTAAGTAATAGGCATGACACGACGTTGAGGCTCAGAGCGAGAAAAATTGTAACGTAGGAAATTATCAGAGACTTTTCATAATTTCTCCCACTTTTCGAGTATTGAAACAATATGTAAGGTATATATGTAGCTCCAAGAAAGCACATCTGTACAAGAGAACCTGATCTGCTAACCGACCTTTCCATAAATATTTCAAAAGTCGTTTCGGTATATTCGTCGTCAAATGATGCCCACCTTCACCAACACTGACAAGGGAGTGATGCAGGTGAAACACAGACACAGATGAGCGGAAATCAAGGGAAATTTAGAAATGGGGCCAAATGAATGATCACGGTCTCTTGAGTGTGGCTAAATCGATCAACTGTGAGGAGCCTTGGCAACACAGAAACTGATCAAACAAGCATATCGCTCATGGATGTCTTTGACCGTGATCGTGACAAGAGAAAAAGTTCTGATCCAGGCAGATAACGAACATCACGAGGATAACCAAGCCATCTCATTTTCAAATTTGAGCGCTGAACTTGAGCGCCATAGTCCCATGCTACAACCCGAACAACCACATCTACGAAGAGCTCTCATCGTTTACCTATTTAGTCATCACAAAGACAGCAGCTGCACTGTGGCACAAAGCGAAGGTGCGGAAGCGACCTGTGGAGAGCTTTATTAACCAATTGTCACTTCCATAACGATGGTTCCTGACTCGCTTTCAAAGCTCCAAACGTCTCTTAGGTAGTTAGAGCGAATTCTGTGCTGATGGCCATGGCACTCAAACCCAAGGTGGCCTCGATCCCTGTGGCGAGTTCGTTTGTGGCTAAAGCACAATGGTTGAGTTGGTTTGGCCAGACTCGATCAATCGCACCAGGTGAAGGTCATTAGCCAACCGGCCAAATGAAATGAGGTGCACATTTCTGTACGCAGCATGAGACGCTGAACTCAAATCTGCTTTCACTATCTGCTGAACTCTTCTCTGAAAGGAGTTACGGAGGGTTTTTGTTGCCGCCCTTGATTTTCAGTGTTTTACCTGCAATCACATGTTAGCCGCACTATAAAAGTATCGAAAGGAGAACCGAGGTGGTGCCTGTGAGCCTCGGTAGCGCAGTTGGTAGCGGTCGTGTTTCTCACGGAGGGGGTCGGGGGTTCGGTCCCTTACGGGGTTTGTTGTTTTGCTTTTTTTCCAACATGGCTGAAAAGCCTTTTTGAATCTGTTATTTTACCAATGGTCGCCCGACGCTACATCTACGAAGAGTTTGCAAGCTGACCCTCTTAAACTTAAGCACTACTTGTCTGTGAAAGCCTATGGTGCCCGTAGTGCAGGTGCTATGCTTTTCCGTGGCAAGTAGGTATGATATTCGTATTCAGGGGATCAAACTACCCCTTACAGCGAGTTTTTCGCCAAATCTGAGGCGACGAACTAATTGAGAAAAAAGCGTGGCAGTGGAGGATTTACTCACTTCCTCAAACATCCACCTTTTTTGGGTTTACAAATATCGACACGGGAAAAGGGAGAGAAGTTCTTTCAGAAATAATGTCTTGAATCCTCGGATGATCAACGGGAAGCCAGACACACTCTGCTTGTTATTTCGTTTATTATGAAAAATAAAAAATTTATTCTACCCAAGTGCCAGCCTTTTGTAATGGATTGGTGGATCGGTGAGTAAGTGACTGCCCAAATTTTCGAGGTTAGGTCAAAATTTCAGAATTCGCTAGAAGTTCGCTCAAAGGGAGAGTCTGACTCCCTGATTACGAATATCATACTTGTTCGAAGCAAAAATGCCTGGCGCCTGCGCTACAAGCGCCCAAAGTGGTGAGGAGCGGTGCCGCCCAAGTTCATTATTAATTGCCCTCAAATTCTTTTTACTGTTAACTATACGCAAGCATGTCGGACTAGCAATGTTAGGAGTCTTCCTAGCTATCTTACTGCAAACGGCAAAAGAACAAACTCGCCAGGGAGTTGATCCCCTGACCTCTTTTTCGTGAGCCTCGACCACAGCCCCTGCGCTTTTCTGCTTCATAATTCCTTTCAGAGAAGAGTTCAGCAGATAAGGAACACATATTTGAGCTCAGCGTCCCAAGGCGCGTATACACATATACATCTCATTTCAAATGGCCGGGTTGACCAAATGACCTTTCCTGGTGGTAGCCATATTAGCTTACGGACTTCCACACCAAGCCTTCCTGTCAAAAGTTTGACATTGCTGCTCATGAAGTCAAATTATCCTAGATGCAAAGCCAAGTTCTTCTTGAGCGAGTCTAGAGCTTACTTTGGGAGAATGCTGAAAGTGCTGAACTTGGGATATGTTGAACAGCTGACTTTTCTGGAGCCATTCATAGCAGCTACTTTTGGGAAAATAGAGCTATAATCGGCAGGTCGATGAACGAAGTTAGTTTATCAAATTCAATGATTTAAAAGAGAACATCTAAATGCTTCATTATTCTCGGCTTTAGAAAAACACGGACACCATGCGAATCGAAAGAGCTGTTGAAGAACGACTATAGTTCAATGCCCAAATATAAAGCAACAAGCAATCGATCCTCCAACGTGACGCATTTCGACTGATAAGACGCACTGTTTGCAAAGAATCTCTTGAAAAATGCAACATATAGAATGTGTCCAATTTTTAGAAACGCCTCCATACAGGACATTTACCACCACGCATTAAAGGCGCTAATTCTGGCTTCAATTCCTTTCGGATTATATGTTACCTGCATTCTTTCGCTCAACCTTTCGCGATGCGACCTGTAACCGACATATGATCTTTTGGATATAATTGAGCTGCCACATTTCATTACTGAGCATTATATATTCATTAAGAATCCTTTCGGAGTATTTGCTCTCATTTTCAGCAATAGCAACCTGTCATGACATAATCCTTCCGTCATATGTCTGATTCAATCCACCACACAGTCAGATTCACCTAAAGGCTGCGAGGATTCCATATGTAATTTGACGAGATAGATGCTGGCTGCCCTATTCCGGCGAGCACGTTTCCGTTCTCACCCTAAGTAATATCCGCAGGTGAATAGAAGGGAGAGCATAGCCGAGACCCCGCCTATGCTGCTAATAGAGCCTACAGAAAAGGCTTCACAATGATATGTCGTGTCCCCACGTCGCAAAGCCATTCACGAGATTGCAGAAGTAGCTTATATCGTTTTTCAGCTCGAGACTGGAATTAGTGTAACCGTCCCTATAATCAGCTTCAGTTTCAGAGGGGGGACTTTCGCTCGTGAAAGGAAGCTGCCTTAGCGACGTCCAAGACTTTCATAACGCCCCACTCCACGTGTAACGCGGTGATTTTGAGCGGGGAACTAACGCCGTCACTCGCGCATAAAGCGACAGGATGACCTTGCGCGGAATGTAGCCTCATTTAGCAATACGCACCTGTGGCAGCGAACACATCGGCGAATTGTGCGCGACGCTTCCCAGTGACTGCATTCCTTATCATTCACATTCATTGTGTATGGATTTGATTGGCCGCGTGCATAGCTAAATTATTTTGTTTAACTACAATAACTTCCATGTCGCTGACTCATTCCATTTCGGAGACTTCCACATCCATGGCCCTGAAATAGGCCATGTGCCCTATACATTCACGCTCGGCGTATAACCATGCGGATCGAACACGTTATTCACTGATCCGTGCTTCCACAATCTTTAGAAATGCAAGAGGTAAACTCTCTTTCAGGCAAACCGTAGTCCTTATCCTTAGTATCCGCAGTCAAATGTTAGACGAGACGCCTTCAGACGTACGTTTATGACTAATATAGTAGTAACGACTCATCTCCAAGGCACCTTCGATAAGGATCGTGTATGCCCTACATCCATAAGTCGTGCTCACATTCCAGGCAGTTTATGGTGTGATCGTCCACTCTGGGCTCCTGCTCCCTTGCACCTAGGAAAGGATGTCCATGCAAGGGAGCAGTAGCCTGGTTCACGACCATTTCCTTGCATCACAGCAGGCAGAAATCTGAAATCACCATAGGAGTACTTCCACAGTACACCGGTCCTTATGAGAAGTTATTTTTTAAATGAATCGATTAAGTGTCACGAAAACTCTTATTATCTCTAGTATTGGAGACCACATTAAAGCCCCCCCCCCCCGAACTGGAGTTTTGGAGTTTGACTTGTATATATATATTAGGTCATCTCATTCAAACATGTCCAGACATCTGGAGAAATGGTGGGAAAAGTAAAAGAGCTGGAGCATTCTGCTTGCTTTTGTTGCAAAGCTAGCAAACCTAGCTACGGTATACCTCACTTAAGTTTGTAGTGCCGCAGAAGGGAACACTTAAAAATATAATAAAACTCATTGTGACCAAAATCGAGGCGGCATTTCCAAATAATTGGTGATACACGTAAAATTCGCAGCTCAAATTCTCTGTGTGCTGGCTCAGCTTACGCGTGATACAGTGTTCTCGAAGTGCTACGTTGAAATACGGGAGAGCCTATAAAGAAGAAAGAACGGATGCGAGATGTGGTTGAGGACGCGCTCACATTGCCCACCTTGTCCAAGAAGAGCGGGTTAATGAAGTGAGATTTCAAATGGCGCATCACAGATGCTGCACCTTTGCGATGTTTGCCCATGAGACTTGCAGTCTAGCTGTAGCTGTTACGCGAATTGTGCCCAACCACAAATGAGATTTCCTAGCAGGGAGACATAGTTCGGTCGGGGAATATAGATGAGCGCCCAGGATCAGGATCAGAAGGTCGAGTTGCTGATCTGTAAGGCATTGATCTTCTCTGCCAATAGCGTCATTTAAGAGTATCAAACTGGACTCTGCTCATAAACGAAATTTGAGTGGAATTGTACCCTGAGGCTCAAGTCTAAAGCGTCAACTTTGGATTAACGCGAATGAGGAACTACTCGAATTGGATCACGAAAAGTCACGTGGGTTCACGTGGATGATGATTACGGCGACGGATTTCTGAGATGTGCCTCTTAAGCGACTCTGTCGGGAAAAACCTCCATCGGTGCTCAAGTGTATGGCTTGTTTCTTAGCGATCAAATTAACAAAGAAATAGCAGTAGAAAACTACAATAACGATATCATCACCTATGTCGATGCCAGACCCCACATAGCTCATATTGCTCACGGGTATTTCGACCAAACGGATATTGTGACCTCTACTTATCCGCCGTATTTTCCCAACTGCAGCCGTGCGACCTCAGCTGTTTTGGCGAACTGAACGCCCTACTCGTTGGGAAGCGCTACGACAATTCACTGATCATCTATACTGACATCGGAAGCATCTTGTCTATACTTGTTGAAATGAAGAAGCTGCGCGGTGTCCAGTGTTTTCTAGACGCTGGGATCGGGTCGTCAACAACGACAAGATCTGCTTGACTTAACACCAAAGTATTAGCTTTTTATCTTTCCTGCTGTTCATTTTATTCGAATAAAACCGTGGACATGTTTGAATGAGATGACCTAATATATTATTATTGCGTATCTCCAAACTCGTGTAACGTGAGAGAGAACGAACGTAACCAAAGGAACTAGGAACACTGAATAAATAAAAACATGGAAACTGTGGGAAAGAACACATAAAAATACAAAGGAGCAATAATTAGGAGGTGAGATATACTAGGAAGTAGTCACGGTTCTAGATGATCGTTGAGAAATTTTTTAAATTTTTGACTGAACAAACTCATGACTTGTCATGAATTCTTTCAGTTGGTCTCGCTGCATATGTATATTCTAACACGCATGCTAAATACCGGAAACCCCAGCATTCTCTCGACAAAGTGAAAAAAAGTCCATTACTCGAAAATTTCCATGCGGCCACTCCATCCTCTGAAAAACAATCATCGAAGAAACTAGTTAGCATACTGAAGACGAAAAACGTACGGTTGAAAGATTTACTCTTCTTCTTCTTATTCTTCAGCGTTTGTCCCGCTTGTTGGCGGGGTCCGCTTTTCTGATGTGCTGTCGCCACTTTTCCCGATTAAATGCTTGGTCGGGGTGGATGTTAACCGACTTCAAGTCTGTGTGCAACGTATCGAGCCAGCGCTGTTTCGGGCGCCCCTTGGGCCGCTTTCCGTGCACGTCTAAGTTGAGGCCGATCTTGCGACACTCACTATTCACGCGAAGAACATGACCGTATCATCGATTTCTTGCGGTTGTTTTTTTTTGTTTTGTTTGGTGAACACGACGGCTTCGCGCATCTTGTCGACAACCAAGCCACACCGAATCGCTCGTACTACTAGTTTTCAGCTCAACTTTGTGCCTGCAATTTATGCGTGTTGTGCATAGAAAAGATGAAGTAAGAAAATATTTATAACATGTATTCAAAACAAAAACACTGCACCACCATAATTATCACGCTGGAAACCTACCGAACTAATGTAACTGAAATGAGATCAAGCAAGAACAAAGAAAATACGCAGTTTCTACAAAAAGAGAACAACTTAGCACTAATGAAAAATATACTTCCGAACATAGCGCTACTGTGACCTTGCTACAGGCATTCTTGTTTCACTTTTAGGCACGCTTATCGTTGAGTGCCGTAAGTGAGGTGTTCGCACACTACTGAGGCAACTAGCTGTGTAACGCGTTCAAGAACAATAGAGTCGACCATCCCTTGCAGCGTGCTTTTATCACATCACGGTCGCGTCAGTTTTGAACAATAATTTTTCAGGCGAAGACAGGTACCACGGATAAATTCGTTGGATGAATTGGTTGCCCGCTAGGAATGTAAGCAGACTTGCCAAGAGATGTATTAGTGAAACGATGACTGCGGGTGTGGCCTAAAACCCGCAAGCAAGACCCTTGTTTTCCCCGCTTATTTCACCGTTAAGCGGGTTTCACCGGCGTTGACTTTGCCAACGTGAACGCTCTCTTCCTCTGCCAAAACAGCAAGAGTCCAACGGCGTGGAAAGCAGCTGGGGGCAGGGTCAACCGTTGCATTCGACTGACTTATAATTTTTTATTGACCGCCCCTTCTCGGAGGTCTTACCACAATACCCCTTGTAGTAATTATGTGTTTGAAGGCAAGCTGCCAGGCTAAAACTGGTGTACCAGAGCACTAGTGATAAGTGAGAGGCGCAATGAACTGAAGTAGAAATGAAAAAAAATCATGAGAAACGCCAAAATTAGGGGTTAATCTACAGTAAGGTCGGATGTGGTACGAGGGCGAGACGCGCCGATAAAGAAGGCAAAACAAACCGTTCGAGAAAGCATGGTGATCTCTACGACACATGTGGGTGGGGTGCGTTGCAATAGAGGGGCGATGGTTGCAGATTCGTAAGGATTAGCGCCCTAATCGCGCAAGTTCTGCGACGCAGCTGACATCATCTAAGTATTTACATACGCACCCACAATTTTACTCACGGTATCCTTCTCACCAGTCGCACTCATCCCGGGGTTTGCGAGTTGCATAATTATAGTTCTGTGGTAAAAAATTGACTTAACCCGGCATTCGCTGTTTGCCGTGGCTCCAAACATGCGGTCAAAACGCTCATGCTCGAAGGAAAAACCACGCCTGTTGAAGAACACTGCTCACGATGTAGTGGGCGCCGTGGTCGAATTCTCCGTATAAGGAAGAGTCGGACGTTCCGTTTCCAAGATGGTCGGATATCGAAGGTCTCTCCCCGTGGGATTTCAAGAAAGCTAGAAGTTTTCTGGAACATCGTTCCCTGTTCCTAGCGCCAGCGCACACTAGACAAAATCAGTGCCCATGGACAAGATGGAAATATAATCGCAATGTGGTACTGCGGTAAGGTGAAGGTACATTGGCGATTTGCAGGATATCGAATTCTACCACTTTCATTTTCAACTTTCATCAACTAATCGGCCCTTCATTCTGTACGTGTGGGAAAGGCAAGAGTAGGTCTCTGTGACCTCATTCAGCATCCATCACGAACTTTTCAATTCACGCGGGACCCACAAACCACTCGCTTCCTCGAAGAAAAAACTTCACGATAAGCCCGAAAGGCGAAGAAGGTGAAATATACCCTCCAAAGGCAGGCAGGCCCTTGACCATGCGGGACGCTGCGCGCTGCACAAGGAAGGGTGTGTTCCCAGCAATTCAGCAGGGCCAAATCCGCGTCGTTCCCGCCGCTGCACGCCCTCCCTCTAACCATTTAGCAGGAGAGCGTTCCCGCTGAAAGTACGGCAGGCACCGATGAGAGTCAACGGGCAAAGAAGAAGTCCTCTTTTCTTAGGGTTCTGGGCCCACTGACCACCTCTACCTTGGCTTTAACGGGCTGCCTTCTGATCGTAAACTCCGCCTTTGATGCATTTCAGTTAATAATTTTAGAGCAGTTACACGACTCCGATTCCCCATGTAAAATTACCCCTGTTTATTCTAACATAGCTGTTGACGCAAGTAGACAAAACTCTTCGAGCCTGAAAAATGGCATATCCTATTTTTCCAACCCTGGCACAAGCTATTATGGACTCACAACGCGTAAAGAATTTGATATAAGTCCAAGGAGATTCTCGCAAAAACGCAATTTTTGCTGTAAAATTTATACAGCTTATATTATGCAGGCCATCGCCAGCACCATTAGACCAAATCAACTAAGCGTGAGTGTAATGTTGTTATAGACATCTTTATAAGTGACAAATGCTTTTCGCCTTCTTAAGCAATACATAGTGGTAAATAACGACTCGAAGAGAATACTTAAACAACGCGCTACTTCCTAAGAATTCGTACTTATACGCACACACAACTTGAAAATTATAACTTCCCGTAATCCAAAACGGCGAGATACATCTCTTTGAATTGAAAGGTATTGCATGTTATAAGAGGACCAAGAGGACGAAACGCCGAATTGCAGGCCGTGAATTGAAAATGACTTGGCCAAAGCGAAACACTGTTTGGTGCTAATGGCTTGCTACATTTCGTAAAAAAGGTCACCTTGTTGGTCCCAATTTAAGTAAAAACTACTGACCACCGCATGAGACTGAAGCTCCACTACTGTAATTCATGCAGGCTTCGAACTTGCTTTACTGAGTCCTAACTGAAGAGAGTCTTTTTATATAACAGAGTCGTCGCCGAGAGTGATTATGGTCACATTATTTTGGGTGTGGAGCACACGGTCTGCTTGTCGTCGTGGATCCCGCCAGTTCCCGTCCAAGCCGGTTGGCTGGTCACGGCCGCGTCTAGGATCTTCGAAATCGTCATCGTCACCTCGAACGACTGTGACCATCTTTCCTGTGTGCTCATCACGCATCATTGATGTTCGCAATTGAGGTGCTGGTTGTTTCAGCTCGAAGCCGTCACTAAATCGAACTCTTTTCTCATCCAAAAACGAAACAGATTAAAACTAAATGGGAATCAGCTAAATGAATATATGAATTTTCAGTTCCTCTGCTTCGCTGGCTCGGCCACAAAAGTTATTTAATTCTTTGCAACTTCCCCTACAACTTTGAAAGGTTTAACAACTAGATGTCAATGATTCGACGGTCGAAACACAAGTATTTCATGTCAAAAATAACATACTGTGCTAATTACCTGCCAACTGAACGGTTGTGTGGAAATCCAGTTGGAGTATTCTGCCGGGGATCCGGTGGTGGTATATGCTGGAGATTTTGAGATGGCATACGCCTTGATGGGATCTGAATTCAGTTGAAAACTCAAGACAATCTCATTAGAACTGAAGCCGCATTAGACCTTAGAAAGCGGTAATGCAATTACTCGTGGATAATGAAAGTGAATAGGTTCGAAGAGATCACCTGCTTTATTCTACAGGGTGGGGCAATGTTATAAGAAACAAATAAATTTAGCGTAAAAGGTGCTACTGGTTTGTTGTGCAGAAAAAAATCTGAAGAAGAAACACTGCTTATATCCAAAGTGATCCCCATAGACATCAACACAAGTTCGAAGACTTTTGGGCAACGTGCTGACCGTGACGAGGAGGTACCCTTTGCATCCGGCGATCAGTAACACTGTGCTACAGACTTCACAACAAGTGAAGATGGTCTTTAGGAAACAGATAACTAGTAACGTATGGTAATACTTGATAAAATAGGCTGCAAACGAAGACAATTACAAGAGCGTAACCGGCAGTTCATTTCTTTGGTAGAAAACTGCGTTTTGTGAAGGTTGTCGTCACTCGTCTCGAAGCAGCAAGCTCCGGGATCAGCCTCAGCAGTAAGAAGGATACCACGAGGTAGTATGCGCATCTACAAAGGGCGCATGCATAGTCCGTCGTCCGATCGTAACGATACGTGAAGAAACTTCGAATATTCAGGCAAGTCTGACAAGCGACAGTTACAATCGTTGCTGTCGGACGACCGACTATGCATGCGCCCAAAGAGCGTGCCATGCCGTTGCACAAAATGCGTGGTTAGGTCATTTGTAGTTAAGGGGCTGCAACCACTGACCCCCATTGCAACGCTCCCAGCCACTTCGTACCACATTTAAGGAGTAGTGAACGGAAGTGTGAGATCTTCGATCTTTATTTCACACTTTGAAAATCAATTCAAAACTTTAGTTTCTTTGCTCATAGATGTCATTTCAACAATAAACTGATGTTCGAACTTTCCAAAAAAACATACTTCGAAAGGAACGTCCTTGCCATTTGCAACATGCTGGCGACTCTCCTGCTTCAACTGCGGATGAGGAACATGCATCATCGGATGTTAATCGTCTATATCAAAATGAATGATTCTAATAATTGAAGAAAAACGACAAATATTGAAAGAACGCTTCATTGGGTGGTATTCACCTAGAGCCTGGTGCAGATGGTGTCCTCAAATGGATAGGCTTCTTGGATCTTCGTGGGTGCGGTGATCGACCAACGGCTGAAATAGTGAATATTCAAAATGCCTAGCCTTCGAGTAAAGTTGGTACATATGCGGTTACAACCGAGAAAACGAAGTTATCTTCAAATAGAATAATAGTACAGATTAGAGGGCGAAGTATCAAATTGCTCTAGACATAAACATAGTGATTTGCTTTCCTGATTACACAGTTGGGTCCTGTGAAAGTTTCAGCGACTCCGTAACGTTACCAAAAGCATTGAACTGATTGCATTGATCTGCTGAGAATCGCGCACGCAAAGTTCTTGCCTTCCTTTAAAATATACGTTGTCATGACTAGAGACAAACTACAAGGTCCACCCAAGAAGATTCAGTTGTGAAGAAAAACTATCTACGAAAATCACACTCCGGACATTCACCGTTGTCTGGTAAATCGTGCAGAGCCAAAGGGGGGGGGGGGCATGGAAGGAAAAGTGAATGGCTCTCCCAAAGGTGCAAAATCAGAAAAGATTTTTCAGTTACGACACTCGGACAAGCGAATAGGAGCATTCCCGTCGCCAATTTGTGACAAATGTACGGTGAAAGCGTGATAATCCTCCGAGTCGATTCCATCAAAACAAAAGCAATTTTTATGTTTTTCTCACCGCGTAGCATGACTCTCAGGCTATCGAATCGGGGGGGGGGGGGGGTTGGCATAGAATAGTGCTGCTCTCGTGAACGATTCCTCTGATGTTTTACTACACGGTCACTTGCTTCTACTGGATTGCAAGATTTTCACAATGACATCAAATTTACTTGGAAAGAAATTGAGCCGAACTTGGGAAATGCAGTGAAATAAACTTCTCAACCTTCTCCCCTTTCCTACTCAACAAGAATACGTTGGTTAAATGAAAAAGCTTTCTTCAGAATTATAATCGTACTCAGATTTAGTGCAGTAGAAGAAGGAAAGTTTAGTAGGCAGAAATCAGCATTCCGACAGTTGCTAGTCTGATTTTCAGAAAGAAAAAAGCTGCGAACGGAAATTCTTAAAACCCTTTGTTCCCATCAATTAGCTCCAATCAATTAACCCTTTTCGCTCAGTTTTAAACCATATTCATTTCGCATCAAATTGGGAATAATGAGGACTTTGAAAAAGAAATCTGTTTTGTTTCATCTCAAATTCGGTGATTCCCTGCGAAATGGAATCAAACTTGTGAATATGATGAAAGGAATATCAGTGATCAGTTTCTTGTTTCTATTTTTTGCTCTAAACGTTTGCGCCGAATGTGAGCGGTTAAGTTCCAACCCAATAAATGTGGAACGGTAAATCATGAAGTGAAACGAATGATAATACTATGCCTGGTCAGCTTTGATTAAAATTAACGCTGAGATCTACAAGAACTGCTGGTATAATTATTCGTGAACTAATGTGACCATGTTATAACCATGCATGTAACAACTACAAAACATACAAGCCGCGTGACTGCGTCTCGATTTGATCTCCTCTTGTTCTTCACGGATCGAAGATATCGGACGAGAAAGAATAGGACCAAGGGCTTTCGTTGGTACTTCTGGGAGATCGTCTGGCCTTGGAGGGGGTAGGATGTGAAGGCCGTCACTCTGAAAAAAAAAGAGTAAAGAAGGGATAAGATGAGAACTCATAAACCAAAACGATACAACAAGAATTTGAAAAACCGTTCCAAAAAAATCTGTTTGTCATTGGTACCAGCATGCATCCAAAGTTTGTCCGTGAGATGTAATGCATTTCAAGCAAAACCAATCACGAGTAGAGCATTGACCGCGTACGAATGGAACGCGGGTTTCATTGGATGAAAAAAAGAGCTTGATACACTATGTAATTTATGCGTGCAATCACGCAGCCGTATCAGCTTGGGAAAGTCGCCCTTGATGCGTCTGTGAGCTAGGTATGCTGTGTCTATGTGAACATTCTCTCATTTAGTTTCATTTTTATAGGAGTATAGAATTATGACCGTTTACCATAATGAAGCCGAAACGTGAGTCCCGAATTCACCGTGTGCTGAGAGTGAACGCCCCGTAGCACAGTGAAAGCGAGGGATAGCAAGTTGTTCGGAAGAATTCACTGATTCATTGACGTATTCTCTTTGTCAGTGATGGTCCCGCCCTGCTTTGTGATGTTTCCGTGATTCATTTTCCCAATTTCTAAGTGAAGGTCGGATCAGAACAAATGCTATCCACTTGCTTGTCAGTTCACGCCGTAGTTGGAGCCTATTTTACCTTAGGTGTTGTTCCTGGTTCTTTCAAGGTTCCCGATCTCATTATCAATTGAGAGCTTTGCGCGCTGCATCCGCAGCAGGAGCTACATGAAGCACTCCCGTGTGGCATCATTACAAAAGCGGTGCTAACCCATGACGTTCTTATGTGTGCGCTTTCACTTCCATTGCAGTAAAGGGAGCTTCGATTTCTTTCTTTGAGCCAACTGCCAGCGCCGAGTATCACCACCGGGCGGCCGAGTTCTGTAGGTCCTCGAACAGGGTTTTTGGCACCATTTTGTTGCAGAGAACTGCATATGGCGAGAATAATATTGAAAAAGGAAACAAATTACGAATGAAGTACCAGTTCTATTTCAACATGACAGCACTACAATTGCAAAACGCAAAGAACGTACTTACCTTCAGTTTGCTGAGTACTTCTCGCAATGAAAACATTGTTTCGTCGTCTGAATACCCAAAATTAGATGCGAGCGTATTCTGTATGAAGTCCATGAAATTCTCCATCTGCAGCTTCCGGATGGACTCTAAAGTACGGTTCTCATGTGTACAAAGCCTAGTTTTCTATACGCTCGGCAAAGGAAATGTCATCAACTTGAATGGTCTTCTATGACGATATGTAGAAAGGAAATGAAGTTCTCAACACTTTTTGTGAATGGACTGCAGCGCAGGTCCCTGGATCAGTGTTATAGATAATGTGACAACACTGCTGG